TGTCATAATGTGTAAAAGAACACATTCTGAAAATAAATTTAATTGCATTGGCTAAACTTTGGTTGCAATATGAAATTCTAGATCTTCCAGTGAGAATGCTGCAATGTGATATATGAGAAAGGTCTCTAATAGGTTAATAGTATGTAAAGAAATATTAATAAAAGTAAAGTTAACAAAAGAGGATACATAGTGCATATGCTGTATCATATAAAATATGCAACATCATTTATCACATAAACTATGCAACGTCTTCCTTACTCTACCTTAAGAATTATGGCAGTGACATGAATTGATTAATTTAAATTTAAAATTTAGATAAAATAGAAATTTAGATAAAAATATAGATATATATATGCTATGTATGGATGGATTTTATAACAAAAAAGCAAATATTCCAATGTCATATATATTGTTCAGGAATATAATAGAATGTCTTTTTTATTTCTCAAAAAAAATCGTCATTTTTATCCTCTTAAATATTACATCATTGAGTTAACATTCATTTCATAAGTTCAAGAAAATAACATATATAGGTATAGCTATATGAAAGTAGAACCAAAGGCTCTAGATCTGTTTCTTTAAAATATTCTTTAAAAATTCATCCTTAGAAAATCTGTGTTTCCTAGGTGAAACAGATGAAATGTGGCTTGAAAATAGCTGTAGAGGATTTTTTTTTCCTCTGAGAGAAACATTTTTATTTGTTTGGTACAGTAGTGTAAACTCTAAACATTCCCATGGTAAGAGACCACAAAAATACAGTAGCAATACAATAATGTATTTAATGTATTAGTCATGAGTGATCAAGACACAAATAATAATGAAAATCATTAGATTCTACATGTAGCTTTATCATAATCTATTTTGTATGCAATATTTATGATGATGATCCCTCTCAAACCACAACTACATTTGAGAATGCTTTGAAGAATCTTATTTTTCATTTAGACTGTTTTTAAAACTGTCTGCTCCAGTATTTTTTTACATACAAAGTTACCTTCTTAATAGATGTGTTTCCATAATCTACATGTGGATAAACCCTTGGCTGCCTGATTATAGTGTTCTTGAGGCAAAAGGGGCATGGATTTGCAATGATGAAATATACTCAGCCAAAGAATAAAAATAGTTCCATATATTTACTGTTGTCAGGCTTTGAGATCATTAGGTAGTCTATGTCCTGCTAATAAGCAAAGAAATAATTTTCTTTCCCTTTCGTACTGAAATTCCATTTTCAGCTGTATTGATTAGTGAACTCTGCCTAAGCTTTGGACATTTTAGTCCTTAGAAACAGCTACAGATCAAGGACTGATTTAAGAACTTAGCATGACTTTTAAGTAGAGAAAAAAAAATAAAAAGAAAGTACCAAAAATAAAAAGCAAAGTTTAAGTAGCAAAAAAGAAAAAAAATATGCCTACAAAAGGGTCTTGTAAATGGCATCTATTTAAAACTGTTGTGAGATACATGAACAAGAAGGAAGCAGGTGCTGCGATCACACATACCTGGTAATTTATTATATGGCTCTGCAATTTACCATACAAATGTCATTCCTACAGAAGTCGTGTGCAAAACAGAGAGAAATAGCACCTTCTCTTCTTCTGCCACTAAAGAAAAGCAACAGCCAAAGCCATCTCTGTTAAAAGAATGTTATTTAGATTGTGAAATGAAGCACTTGAAAGTTATGGAGAGCTAACAGTGAAGCTATTCCAATTCCAGTAGTTTTCACTATGATGTGAGCGAGGTCTTTGACAAAAAAAAAAAAAAAAAAAAAAAAAACTCAGCTATGTTTTTGTTTTTTTCCTTCTCTGTACCTCTATTTCTGAAGAAGACATTGACCTGTCTGCTGTTCAGCAAAAGATTAAAACCACACTGCTACAGTTAGAACCGCTCTATACACAAGAGGTAACCTGCTCAGATCAGAACTAGATGTTATAGCAGTGCTTCAGTGGTAAGCATAGAAAGCATAGTCCTTTTCTGCTTTCCAACAAAGGGACTGTCAGATGTATACTTTAATTACCCATTATTTTGAAAATATATTTTTTTATTCACAATTATTCAGCACAGCTTGATTTACCTTCTACTCTGCAAGTCTGGGACATCACTGTGAAATCAGACTGAAGGCTCCATTAATGCTTATATAAACTGTTCAAAGAAATGGTGGATTCAGGTAGTTTGCTTCTCTATATGAAACAAAGCATCTGATACTTGTCTGTCCCTAGTTAAAATTCTGCTCAGTCACTTTTCTTTCAACCTCTCAGCTACTTGAGCATGCTTGGCGGTAACTGTGACAGAAACACTGACAAAATTTCAAAAATATGACTGAATTATAACAGAGATGAAAGAATGAAACTGTACCTTGTGTAGAATATATTTGAATGTAAAAGAAACATTCTTGCCTCTTGTATTACTCAAGTTATTTAAAAATATATCCAACCAGGATCACTTACTGGAAAAAAAAATGAAAGAACACTACTTCTGAAAACTTTTCCTTCACTTTTCTTTAATTTCAGATATTTTAGAACATTTTTTTTCTCTGTTTTGGAAAATATCATTTAGCTTTTGTGATCATTTTATCTGGTAAAAAGGTAAATAATGAAGTAACTGAAAGTGCCTGAAGTGGCTGAATGCAAAGGCAAAGACTGAATAGTGAAGTGACTGAAAACAAAGGCATTCCCTAATGCTAAAGTATTACCTGAAACATAATTTCCATATCCAATTTCCTGAAACTAAATAATTAGATTTAATTTACTTGGAGATACCAACAAACTTTGTTTCAGTGTAATGCAAATGGTGTAATCTCAGGATTTTTTATGCATATGTCACTTTCTGAACACTTTTAGACAGACATTTAGAAAGTTTAATACACCACTGTGCTATTAAGGCAAGGTTGTGCTATTAAGATAGTGCTGAAACTTTAGATGGTTCCAGCCTTCTGGTATGGAGCTGGAACAATACAGTGACTAAGGCCTTGGAAACTATACAAAATAGGCAACATTCACCTCAGTGCTAAAGTTCAGTTAATTCAACCTATTTTAGCTCCCCGCAGAGACCATAAGGAAAAATCCGACCATAGCATCATCACGTCACAGTGCACAGGATATTTTTTGCCTCCTCTGCTTCCTTTTTGTTCACACTGTCAGCATAACACTCATAGAAAAGGTCAAATAACAAGTCACTTATTTTCTGGAAGCTAAGATTTTTCAAGTATTCAACCATTATGTTTTTACTTGTACTGATGACTTCACATTTTAAAAAGTGTACAGTCTCAGACCACCTTCAGATAGAACATCAGCTTCAAATAAGACTTTTCCATTTCAAAAACAGAGTTCAATATGTCTCTGCACTGTCACAATACAAGCCTAGGGAAAAGGTTCAGTTTTACAAAAAGAATTTACAAGAGCGACAATAACATACTGCCTCTAGCTTAACAATGATTCAGTTAGATTGGACATCATAATCTAACAGTCCTCTTGCTTTTGGATTGAACTGGGCATATTTCAAGCTATAATATTTCTGCTTGACCAGTTACTGTGTACTGGGCTACAAAGACAATTAATATAGCATGTTTTTGAATAATACAGACCTAAATGTATTTGCAAAAGCAAATAACATTTGTGTTAAACAAGAGGAAGGTTTTGTATAACTTCACATTGAATTATATACCCCCAAGTTATATATCTGTCATCTACTCTTGATTCTTACTCCTATGCTTTTTTAAAAGGATAGAGATAAGTGATCTTACATTCATATGGTCAACATTCACATACATAGTCAAGAAGAGTAAGTGATGCAAAGAAGAAAGACATAGATTTAGTATCACATTTTTATAGAAATCAACCATGCCTTTTGCTTATCATTCTTCCTATAAAAAAAAGATCTTTCAATTGAACTAAAAACTTTATCTTACCACAGAAGTTCTGTACACATTGTTCATTGATGCCTTGACTCCTATAAATCAATATTTAACATATTTTCTGCTCTGTAGCTGGAAGTTATTCAAAAGAGAACAAATGACTTGGATGAATCAAGTAGCACTTACTGTCAAATGTAAGGGAGCTCAAGAAGCTCCCAGGAACACTCTTGGCTGGTGTGCAAGGAATCTCCCTGCATTGCTTGTACACAGCTGCAAGGATAGACTGCTTTGCAAGACTTTGATCAGCATCTGTCAACCTTCATATTCTCAGAGCCATTTCATTTTAAAACATTACTTCATTACATCAGAATATTTTATTACATGAAATACATTACATTTATATTATTCCAGGAGGTGACAGGATTTCAACAGATGGAATAGTACCTTGAGAAGTCAAAAGTCAAAGTGAAAAGGCTGATTTAAACTGAAATCTGTGGCACAATTGTAGCAAAGGGGAGAATGCTTTAATAAGTTTCAGTCAAACTACAATACAGTATAAACCAGTCTTGAATCAGTGGTATAGCTTCAGTACAGACAGTTTGCATTAAGCATTAACAGGAAAGTGCAGATATGGCGATAAAAAGTTAATGGGACAAAATCAACTAATGTATTTTGCTATCCAGCAGCAAACAGGAGTGATGTACACATCACTAGGAGGTCTCAGATAATTCAGCTGCAGTAAACAAAGAAATGGTCCACTGCTCTGAAAAACAAGAAACCATATACTAACTTGCAAAGCACATTAGAATCCATAATTAGAGAATTAGAAACAAACACATAACGCAGAAACAAACACATAACAGAAATAAATATGTAGGCACTTTTTGATCCCTGTAAGAAGTTACAACCAAAGTAACCAACATACCTGGCAATGATTAAAGAAGAAAGGGGCTTATTTTCTGATAAGCTTTACAAGTATACTAAAATCTTTTCACAAGCAATTATACAAGAGGTCCTCATAGTTAGATGAAATAACATTGCTAAAACTATATACTCTAAAACAAAACAACTGAGGAAATGTCAAGTAAGCAAAACCCAAAGTTGATATTCAGTCTCCAGGTTTACTGGTACTTGGAAATATTTTCCTCATGGCAGGTTTGTTTGGTCCTCTTCCATTCTTCATAACCTTGGAAAACAAATAAGCAAAAGGAAAACTTATATGAGAAGCCAAATAGCTCAGTGAGTGCATTCTTAATCATATTAACTTGGAATATAAAAGTTCATAAAGCAATACATAGTACTTTAGAAATAAAATCCACATGAGAAAGTTAAAACAAAAGGTACTTACCATTTTTAAAAAATCTTTATCAGTCTCTTGCGGAAATTATAAGAAATGTATCAGAGCAAAGAATTTCGTATTTAGTCAACAGTGTAAGCTAATCTGAACACACCAATATCACAAAGACTAATTACATAATCCACAGTAGTATCATATGTCTGTATTTTTTCATTTGAAAATGAAATAAACATCTTTATCTTTTGCATGCTATCAAAGATGAGATGTTCTTAATACTGTACATCTACACATTATATTATATTACCAGATCTACTTATAAAGATCTATATAATCTATCCCTATAAAGGAATAGATTTCAAGGAAGTAACATTTTGCAATGTTCTCGGTGCTTTTGTTAGGCTGCATCCCGGCTCTTTGAATTGTGTCCTCTGGGACATATGTTGTCTTTTGTCTCGAGGCTTAGCAAGGCAAAGGGAAATTCCTGCCACGTCTTAGAGTTTTAGCTTGGGTTAAAACACCCAGGAGTTTTGGATGCTTTCAGGATGACTCCAGCTTACCCTCTTGTCTTCCTAGCACTGTGTGCACTTCCAGTCATGCCTCTAGTCACAAATATTCACATGATACTCACTGGATTTTTTTTTAATTCTAAACTCAGTGTGCAAATCCAACATTGTATCAGCACAGCTCTTCCATTTGACTGGACCTCTTTAACCTTTCCTTAATCCTCAGAAAGGCTGAAGATACAACAGGTATTTTATAACTTGTCCAATCACTCATCTTCCTGGATAATATTTAGATAAAATGAGCAGAAAACTTTGCATCTAAAGTTTATGTTTTTTATTTCTACTGTCTATTTTTTATGCAGTGACATTTTACAGATGAAACATTTCTTCCTTGACCATGTAACACAAAGGAAAATGTGGAAGAAGAGAGCCTTAAAGAAAGAAAACATAAAATTTACTCAGACAATTCTAGGCCATAATGTTAGGGAATTTGAATATACTCCAAATGTGTCCTAGTTCCTGCATTCCTGGAACAAGGTATGTTCTGCTGTGGCAAAGTACCTATATAGATTTGGGTCTGCTCTTCTATTCTCTTCTCTTCAACCGACAGTACTGTGCTGTTGCAGTGAGAGTTAGCACAGACAGGGCAGAAACTAAGAATAATGAGCCATGGATGTGGAGGCTTTATTGATTTTATTAGTACTTTGACTTATGATGAATGGTGAATGGTGCCTGGAAGATCTATTGTGATGGTGCCTGGAATATCTATTGTGATTGTTGCTACTGAAGATATTTATGGAGGTGTGTTCAGATATCTAAAATACATTCACTCACATATGAACCACAGGAAGTATATGGAAGGGTGAACAGATACACATTCTCAGCATAGTAAGAGAGAGAATAAGATTTTTTTTAATTATTACTTTATTTTATATGAATAAAAATGATATTTTGGGATAAGAAGGATCTATTCCTGTTAGGGTAGCAAGTTGTTTTGCACAGCTGCTAGAAACTGCTTCCAGATGACTCCTCCTTTCCAGGTGGAGAAGAGTCCAAACCACTTGTGTACTTGGGGCAATATTAATACTGGCAAGTTATAGTATTTCTGAATATACTTCTAGGACCCACTGTAAACTCTGTAGTTTGTGAGCTTTTGTGGGAGGAACTGAATGTTTAGAAGTTACTTAGAAGGTAATTTGGATGCAACTACTTTTAGATGACCATGTCACAACAGGGGGAATAATTCTGCAGAGCACTAAAACTGGATATAACTAAAATCAACTCTATCTTTCATCCTTTATACCAAAGTTCTCCTAATTTCTCCAAACTAGTACTTAGGCCATTTTTTTTTTCTTCTTAAATAGTTTTTTAAATTATAACTTTATAGTATTATAAAATACTGTAACTATATATACTATATAATAACTATTAGAAGATATTTTAAAAGGTTAGGATGTACATTTTACATTGACACAAATAATATTTAAACCATATCTGTGTGTCCTTTATCCACCCTATACACACCCATTTATACTGACATTTTATGTAAGACTACTAGTGTGTTATATATGCACATCCACCTATCTTAATGCGACATGATAGAAAATCCTATTTTATTACACACAGTTTTTCTCTTATCTATTACTCTATTACAAAAAAAATCTGTGAATGCAAGTGTTTAGAGCTAATATTCAGCAATATATATATAGTCACATTAATGATATTCTATTAAAATTACAGCATTAAAAGTTGGAGCTTAAAATTATGTGTATAAAAAATTCCTTGTTCAGCAGTATATGAAGAAACTTATCTCCAAATTATGCATACCTTTCTAAAATTCCAAGACCTTCCTGCATAAATTGAATTGCTCAGTGATTACATACAGTATCATTTCTTTGAGCAAAAAACTGAAAACGTAAAAATAAATTATAGTATTAGTTGCATTTCATACAAAAATCCCTAAAAAGATGGATTGTCACCAACTTCGACAGAGAAAGTTTACTTAACTGTTCCATATATGTAACTTTAATATATAATCAAAGCATTTGTCACAAGAATGAGAAAGAAGAGAATGAACAAAGCAGCGATTACTTTGGCTTGTCTGCTTGGACAGTGTAGATTTACTTGGCAATTAGAGAAACAGGCCTTAGGAATGTGGTTTCTAGCCTGTTCTGGCTTATCTTCACATACCAACAAAGCATGAACAAAGCTGTTCAATTAAAACAATGTACATTAAAAAATACAATAACTGATTTGCATCATCCCAATGATTTGGAATTGATGTCTTGTACCTTCTAATAGCACAATTTCATTATTCAGTCCTCATTGAGTCTCTTGCCAGTCATCAGGATTTTCCGGCTGCAGACTGTGGTCATTTGCAGAGCTTTATAGACAGTGAAGAGGTCTGTCTGAAGGATAAGAAAACACAAATTAGTCTTTGCGGATTGGCCTCAGTCAATGCTGGCTTTGTGCTATAATATCCTCATTCAAACAGTTGGATAGATCACTTTCTGCATGTTGTGTCAAAGAATTAGACAGAAAAAATGACTAGAAGGATGGTTTTCCTTTGTATGTTATTGTTTTTTTGAAGCTTTTGAGGACTTCTGAACATCTTTGAAATGCAATGTTATATGTATATGTTGCAAAAGAAAGGGATAGCCAAGTTGAGAATTTTAGGAATTTTTCTTTAGGTTTAAATTTTTTTTTTTTCTAAATGAAACAAGATGTCACTCATCTCTTCATTAATTGTCCAAAAAGAAAAGGAAAAGCCCCTTTTAAATATTTTTCTCTTTCTAACTGAAACTGTGATACTACAGTGATATATACTCATTCCATTTTCTAAACTGTGTGTAAACAGGAAAATGACAACACTTTTGACTAGATTTTCAAAATTTATTATTAAAAAAATGATGCTATTGTTCATCCATTTATCATTTTTACTTAATTATGACAAAAATAAAACCCCCTATGATTGTTTTCATGACCTTAATATTTAAGCACAGGCAAGTAGAACTTGTTCAAATTTTACTGTCTATTTCAGTCAAGAATTCAAAATTTTAAATTTATTCTGCTAACTAGTCATACCTACCATCTGAAGAAGCCAAAAATATGTCACTTCATCACTCTGAATAACCACCAATATGTGAATTCTACATTGTACTTAATCTGTAGAGCAACAATATATATGGTATATGCTTATATGGTATATAGCTTTAAAAAAATCTCTTTTTTTCACAGAAAATTTTCCTGAAAACAGTCCTTGTCTAAATAATTCATTACAACTTATTCATGCAGGTTTATTATTAATACAAATGTCTTTGAAATAGTTGAAAATCCTATGGATTTTAAATCGGTTATTATCTGAAAATTTTAGAAGTGACTGCATTTCTGTTCATGTTTGACAGTGTTGTTACTCTCTTTTTTCGGTAGAATCAAAGAAATAATTCTCTGCTCTAAAATTAGTGACAATCATGGCAAGTCTTCAAAATATTTATCCCGGAGTGTTGCGGGAAATGGCGGATGTCATAGCCAAGCCACTCGTCATCATCTTCGGAAGGTCCTGGAGAATGGGGGAGGTGCTGGAGGACTGGAAGAAAGCCAGTGTCACTCCGGTCTTCAAAAAAGGCAAGAAGGAGGACCTGGGCAACTACATCCATCCCTGGGAAAGTGATGGAACAGCTCATCCTGGCTGCTGTCTCCAGACACATGGAGGAGAAGAAGGTGCTCAGGAGTAGTCAGCATGGATTCACCAAGGGGAAATCATGCTTGACTAATTTGATCGCCTTCTATGAAGGAGTGACTACCTGGATAGATGAGGGCAGAGCAGTGGATGTCATCTATCTGGACTTGAGCAAGGCTTTTGACACCATCCCTCACAGCATCCTCCTGGGCAAGCTCCAAAGGTGTGGGATAGATGAGTGGATGGGGAGGTGGATTGGGAATTGGCTCAGTGGCAGGGTGCAGAGAGTGGTAGTCAGTGGCGTGGAGTCCAGTTGGGGGCTTGTAGTTAGCGGTGTCCCCCAGGGGTCAGTCCTTGGTCCGGTCCTGTTCAACTTATTCATTAACGACCTGGATGAAGGGATGGAGTGCTCCCTCAGCAAGTTTGCTGATGATACCAAACTGGGAGGAATATCTGATAGCCCTGAGGGCTGTGCTGCCATCCAGAGGGACCTGGACAGACTGGATGACTGGGCGGTGAGAAAGCTCATGAAGTTCAACAAGGGCAAGTGCAGGATCCCGCACTTGGGGAGGAATAACCCCGGACACCAGTACAGATTAGGGGTGGACCTGCTGGAGTGCAGCCCCACAGAGAGGGCCCTGGGCATCGTGGTAGATGACAAGTTGACCATGAGGCAGCAGTGTGCCCTCGTGGACAAGAAGGCAAATGGGATCCTGGGGTGCGTTAAGAAGAGCGTCTCCAGCAGGTCAAGAGAGGTGATTGTTCCCCTCTGCACAGCTCTAGTGAGGCCACATCTGGAGGCTGTGTCCAGTTCTGGGATCCCCAGTACAAGAGGGATGTGGACCTGGATGGAGAGTCCAGCGCAGGGCTGTGAGGATGATCAGGGGCCTGAAACATCCGTCCTCTGAGGAAAGGCTTAGAGAGCCAGGCCTGTTCAACCTGAAGAAGAGAAGGCTGAGGGGGGGCCTGATCAGTGTCTATAAACACCTCAAGGGAGGGAGTGAGAACGATGGGGCCAGACTCTTTTCAGTGGTGGAAAGCAATAGGACTAGAGGAAATGGCCACAAGCTGAGGCACCAAAAGTTCCACAGGAACTTAAGAAAACATTTCCTAACAGTGAGAATGACAGAGCACTGGAACAGGCTGCCCAGAGCAATTATTGAGTCTCCTTCTTAGGAGATCTTTAAAACCTGCTTGGATGCAGCCCTGTGCTACGTGCTTTAGGTGACCCTGCATGTGCAGGGGAGTTAGATTAGATGACCTCTGGAGTCCTTTCCAACCTTAAGTATTCTATGATTCTATATTTGCTCTTCTATAGTATTAGCCTGGAGCCTAAACATACCTTGAATATGACAATCATTTCTTCTTTTTTTCAACAGTCTTCCTGTCTCAAAATATAAGGGGAACACAGGAAAAAAAAAAAAAGGAAGAAGAGGTATCATCATTTGCACATGGACTGGTTCGATTTATACATCAAGTCAGTCAAGATAGCTTCTGCAAGACAGTATTTGTTAACAGATTCTTACATCTACTTAATTATCTTTAAAGTACACTAATTTTAAGTTGTATAATCAAGACCTCACTTCTGAGTAGCTTATCCAAAAGCTTAAGTACACTCTTTCTGAAGAAGCCTAAATTTAAATGCTTTGCTTAGGGATTTATTTATTTTATTTTTTATTTTTTTTTTTATCTTTGGGGCAGTAGGGCGCAACCCAGACCAAGTTTGCTTTGCCTCTATCCTGACTCTGCATGCAGAAGCATGCAGGATGGAAACACCTCCCTGGAATAGGATTTGGCAGAATCATTTTGGTTATATACAGCTTAGTATTCTCATGGAGATTCTGAGATCTGAACTTATCCCTCCATAAAATAGGTATCACTGTTCTAATATGTTTAGGGATAATACATAAAAGCAGAAGAAAAGTCATTGTAATTTATTACAAACATTCATCTTTTGCTTCTTATTATGACATCTCATTTATTAGGTTTGAATATCCAGCAGAATAAGTATTGGAAACACTTTAGGATTATTTTTGGTTAGCCCAAAAGTTTACTCTCCAGGGAATTTTTATTTGATTACCTAGATATTTCTCTTTTCATAAACAAAAATCCCATAATCTGGCATATCAGCGTGCTGTGGGTTTTTTGAGTGATTTGCTCCTGTTAGAGGTTAGGGTGTGCTGTCAAATGAGGAGGGCGGGAATGTTAAGATGTAGAAATGGCTACAAATACGAAAGTGTAGGATAAAGTGGCAATAATAAAAGTAGTACTTAATACTCCCAGAAGATGCAGCAAGTTTAATATGGAACTATTATTCTTATGGAATAAGAATAAAAAAAGCCAAATATATGCTGCTTTGTAAAACCATTTCTTTCAAGAACCTCACATTCTCTAGTATAACTGTGGGATCAAATGTGGAGCTTTGGTATACACAGATATAAGTAACTTTTCTTAAAATGTGTTTATGTTCAAGAATACATATATGAAGGCAAAGCCATAATTTCTACAAAAGTTGCATAGAAGTGTAACAAAATTGTATAGCATCAATTTTAAAATCTATATAGTAAAATATATTATGAAGACAGAGAAAGACAGGAAGGGAGGCAGGGAGGGAGGGAGGGAGGAAGGAAGGAAGGAAGGA